TTGGTATTAGGGTGATGCTGGCTTCATAGAAGGAATTTGGAAGTGTTCCTTCCTCTTGGATTTTTTGGAATAGTCTGAGGAGGATAGTTTTTAGTTCTTCCTTGAATGTTTGGTAAAACTCTCCTGTGAAGCCATCTGGCCCTGGGCTTTTGTTTGCTGGGAGCTTTTTGATGACTGTTTCAATTTCTTCCCAAGTCACTGGTCTATTGAGATTTTTAGATTCTTCCTGATTGAGTTTTGGAAGATTATATTTTTCTAGGAATATGTCCATTTCCTCCAGGTTGTTCAGTTTGTTGGAGTAGAGTTGTTCATAGTATTTTGTAACAATCCGTTGTATTTCGATGGGGTCTGTTGTTATTTCACCTCTTTCATTTCTGATTTTGTTTATTTGGGTCCTCTCTCTTTGTTTCTTGGTTAGTCTGGCTAGAGGTCCATCTATCTTGTTTATCCTTTCAAAGAACCAGCTCTTGGTTTTGTTGATCTTATGTATTGTTTCTTTGGTCTCTATGTTGTTTATCTGTGCTCTGATTTTTGTTATTTCCTTCCTTCTACTTACACTGGGCTTTTCTTGTTGCTCTTTTTCTAACTCTTTGAGTTGTAGAGTTAGATCATTTGTTACACTTTTTTTCTAGTTTTTTTGCAATAGGCTTGTAAGGATATGAACTTCCCTCTCAAAACTGCTTTTGCTGTGTCCCATAGGTTTTGGATTGTTGTGTTTTCATTGTCATTTGTTTCCAGGATGTTTTTAATTTCTTCCTTGATTTCTCTGGTAACCCAGTCCTTGTTTAATAGCATGCTGTTTAGTCTCCATGTGTTTGATTTCTTTGGATTATTTTTATTGTAGTTAATTTCCAGTTTTATGCCATTATGGTCTGAGAAGATGCTTGATATGATTTCTATCTTCTTGAATTTGAAGAGACTTTGCCTATGTCCCAAAATGTGGTCTATCTTTGAGAATGTCCCATGTGCATTTGAGAAGAATGTATATTCTGTGGCTTTGGGGTGGAATGTTCTGAAGATGTCAATGAATTCCATCTGGTCTAGTGAGTCATTTAGGATTGATATTTCTTTGCTGATTTTTTGTTTAGATGATTTGTCGAAGGGTGACAGTGGGGTATTAAAATCTCCTACTATGATTGTATTGCTGTTAATCTCTCTCTTAATGTCCTCCAGCAGTTTTTTTTTTTATGTATTTGGGTGCTCCCGTATTGGGTGCATATATATTTACCAGGGTTATTTCTTCTTGTTTGATTGCTCCCTTTAGTATTATGAAGTGCCCTTCATTGTCTCTTGTTATGTCCTTCTGAGATCTAATTTGTCAGATATAAGTATTGCTACCCCAGCTTTCTTTTCATTTCCATTTGCCTGGAAAACCTTTTTCCATCCCTTCACCCTCAGTCTGTGTGCATCTCTTTTTCTGAGGTGGGCTTTCTGTAGACAACAGATGTATGGGTCTTGTTTTCTTACCCAATCTGTTACCCTATGTCTTTTGATTGGAGCATTTAAACCATTTACATTTAATGTTATTAATGATAGGTACTCATTTGATGTCATTTTTATTCTATACCCCTGTGTTCCTTCTTCGCTTCCTATTTCTTTATTTTTACAGTAGACCATTTAGCATTTCTTGCATTGCTGGTTTGGTGGAGATAAATTCCTTTAGTCTTTTTTTTGTCTGTGAAGCTCCTGATTTCCCCTTCAATTTTGATTGATAGTCTTGTTGGGTACAGTATTCTTGGATTCAGACCCTTTCTTTGTATGACTTTGTATATTTCATCCCATTCCCTTCTGGCCTGATAAGTTTCTGTTGAGAAATCAGTTGTTAGTCTGATGGGGGTTCCTTTATATGTAACTTTCTGTCTCTCTCTGGCTGCTTTTAAGATTCTAACTTTGTCATTGGTGTTTGCCAATTTAATTATAATATGTCTTGGCGTCGGTCTTCTGGGATCCATTTTGCTTGGGACTCTGCGAGCATCTTGGATTTGTGTGGGTTTTTTCTTCCCTATCTCAGGAAAATTTTCTGTCATTATTTCTTGAAATACATTTTCCATATCTACCTCAGTTTTCTTTCCTTCCGGAACCCCTATTATTCGAATATTATTTTGTTTTGCATTGTCCCAAAGCTCCCGTAGGCTCTCCTCCTGCTTTTTAATTTTTTTTTCTAGAAGCTGCTCTAATTGGGTATTTTTTTCCATCTTGCCTTCTTGCTCACTGATGCGATCCTCTGCTTCTTCTAGTCTACTCTTGATGCTTTCTATTGAGTTCTTCATAGTAGCGATGTCATTTTTCATTTCATCTTGAGTCATCTTCATTTCCTCTTGTTTTTTTTCATTTCCTCTTGGGTCTTACTCATATTGTCAAATTTGTCTTCCATTCTTTTTAGCCATCTTAAGATCGTTACCCTGAATTCTTGCTCTGGTAGGTTGCTTGCCTCTATATCGTTTACTTCCTTTTCTGGTGAAGCCTGCTTTTCTTTCATATGCGGGCTGTTTTTTGGCCTCCCCATGATCTAGGATGTCTGGTTGTGTAGTTCTCTCTCTCCTGCTTTGATTTAAAGGCACAAAATACAACACAACCAGGTACAACACACAAGGCACTGAATAGAAATGTGTTTGCGATATTAATAACCACCAATAAGGGTGACTAGAACCCAGCTAACAAAAAAAAGCATAGGCAAATCAATCTTATAAAAGAAAAGCATACAACTTCAGTAAAGTTAACATTCAACATACAACTTCAAAGAGTTAGAAAGACTGTTTTGTTTTTTTTGTTTTGTTTTGTTTTTAGGACAACTGCGAGGGAGGTGTGAATGGGTTTGGAGCAGGTAGTTGGAAATTAGGTATATACAAGTAGGGTGAAATTTTAGGAGAGGGTAGACAGAAGGAATGGGGGAAATCTAGAGCAGGAAAGGGTTAAGATAAACAAGGTATCAAAGGAAAAGATTGAAAAGAGGGTGAAGGCATAAAGGTAGGGTTGAGATAGAATAAAGCGTTGGAGAAAGAAGGATAGATAAAGACTGTAGAACAGTAATCCTGAAATAAAAAAAAAAATATATATATATGATCAAATGAAATAAAAATAAAAATAAACAAAAGAAAATAAGATGAAAAAGGTAAATTAGTAGTAGTAATAATGTTGATTACATATACAATGTAATAATTATCAAGATAAAATCAAGTGAGGAAAAAGAAAAAAAATAGTTTCTTGAGTAAACGTTGCAAATAATGAAAACAAAAATTTAAAAATTAAAAAAAATAATAATAAAATTTTAAAAATTTAATTAAAATTTGCAGTAATGAAGGTCATTCGCGTCCTCTATTGTTATGATCTAGTCCTGATTTTTAGGCAGGTTTTGCTTTGTTTTTATTACAAACTAGAGTCAATTTGTGAATTAGCCTCTGGGGGCAGTGTTTCTAGGTTGACTTCCAGACTCTAGTCTAGAGCCTCTCCACCCCCCCCCCCCTCTCTGAAGCTGGAACTACGGAGGGGGGGAGGGGGCAGGTCCGAGCATCTGGAATCTCCCGCAACTCTCCGATATCCCTCCGAGCTGGATCCAAATGTTTTGCTCTTTAGATATCTCCCCTGTTAGGAGCCCCGTCCACTTTCATGGGTGACTCCCGCCCAACAGCTGGGGCTTCTACTTGTAATCACCGCCCTTGTCCTCCAGCTTCCGCGAGCGCGCTCTGTGCGCGCAGGCTTTTTGTTTTCGCCGCGAGCGCTCTCCACCCTCTCCCCGAGTAATCTGACCTTTTCGCCGAGCAGTGGGGCACTCCTGTGAGGCCAGGTGTTTGCGCTGCCTGGGATCCGCGTTCTGGGGGTCACAGATGCTTGGTGGTCGCTGCGGCTGTGGATATTCAGGCCTCTGACACGATCCTATCTTCCAAGATGGCGAGGTTTCCCCGTCCAAGCCTGTAGGTAGCTCCAGGCAGGGACACAGCCCTCATGGGTGCTTCCCTTTGAGGGGCACCTCTGTCAGCAGCCCCCCAGCAGTTTCTTCTGGTGTTCACTGTCTCCCAGCTTGCCGATAAACACTCACAGCACAAGACCTCAGTTGCTCTCTCTTTCTGCTTCGGGAGAGGGCTCAGAATCCGCCCATCTATTCTTCCGCCATCTTACCTCCTCCGGCAAGTCTATTTTGAAGAAGTGGCGTTAGAAGAAGTTTAAGTTTAAAAAATTTCTCAAAAGAAATTTCAATCGTTAAGCTTTTGATATTTGGCTCTGTTGACTAATGAGTTTGCTGACTGGGTTAGGCAAGAAGATTGCTGGAGTGTTAGTTAAGTTGGTTCAGGTTTTTTTTACAGTGGAGATGTAAAGGGTTATCAGGAAGTATAGCTATTGAAGTATGTGTGATTTTTGAGGAGAAATAATCAGAGTGCAGCAGAAAAAAGGGACTATTTGGAGAGGCTTAATGAATTATTGGAGGGGCTTACATTTTGGATGGTTGCAGTGATGATGAAGGACATGGTGGTTATGGCTGATTTCAAAAATTTTATTAATTTGTGGACGAAAGGGGCCACTTGCTAACCTGACAAGCTCCGGGAAGGCCTGCATGGCGGTCTTGCAAATTCAGAGACCTAAAATAATCACAAAGGATGGTCTGAAATTAAACTTTAACTAAAAGCAGTTTTGGTGGGGCCCTAGTCGGTTTGGCTCAGTGGATTGAGGGTCAACCTGTGGACTAAAGGATCCCAGGTTTGATTCCGTTCAAGGGCACATGCCCAGGTTGTGAGCTCAATCCCCAGGGAGGAGCATGCAGGAGGCAGCTGATCGATGATTCTCATCATTGATGTTTCTCTCTCTCTTCCTTTCTCTCTGAAATTAATAAAAATGTATATTAAAAAATTAAAATAAAAGCAGTTATGGTGGGTAGTTATATCCTAGGGTTCATTGCACTGACAAGGTCAACCTTTACCTTAATCGAACCAGCCTATCATCTTTTTGCATCTATAATAACATATCATGAAATGTCTGGGTAACTTGTAACTTCCCTTTTTTTCCAGATCTCTCAGGTCACAACCAAATGCCTTGAGCTCCAGGAGACCTAAATTCCTTCACTGTTATTGTTTTCATGTTAACTGTTGACAGTTAACTATCCTGCACCCTCCCAGGTATGTGTCTATCATTTTACTTTTAATCCAATCCCAGAGGTTCCCCCCCCTTTTGCTTTCTCCCGCCTCTAATCTATTACCAGTAGATTTCCTTAACCTACCTACATCCCCCGCTTTGATTGCAATGTATAAAAATAGATGAAAAACCGCCCTTCTCTGGAGTGTTACCCCAGTTCATTGAGATTTTGCTTCCCTGCAATTGTCGACAGTTTGGCTCACATAAACTCACAAAAATTCTTTATAGGTTTGAATGTTTTTATGTTAACACATTTTTATTAATTTGTGGGAAAATGTATTTGTGCTGACAGATTGAGATTCTGGCTTGAGCACAAAGCTAGATGACTTCATTGTGTAGATTTACTTAGCAACGTTTAGCAGTCTGTGGCCTTTGGCCGTGAAGGACCCTGTTATGTCCTTTGGCAAGCCTTAGCCCTGGGTGAGGAGGAAGGCAAGGGTGGGGTGGAAGTGATCAGTGGAAGGGTATAAGCTCTTCTGAAAATCCTGACATGGATTGCTTAGGAAAATGGGGGGGCAGCAAATTGGCACTTTCAGCAATGACTACAAATATCACAGTGGGCACAATGAAACACCATCGTTTGAATATTTATTTTAAGTCTGAACAGTGGATGTGAGTGAGTCGTAGAGGGATGGTCATGTTTTGATCATGGAAAATGTTCTTGTCCTTGTTCAGTTGATTCTGAGCTGGGCTAGGTTCCACAGTATCTTGGATAATGGAATAACTGCTCTGATTAGGCAGACCACCACTGGAAGCCACTGAGATCTATAAGAACGGCAAATAAAATGACCTTCCTTTCCACTACGTGTACAGGTTCCGAGCGCTGAATCTGCTCAGCAGCCTTGGTACGTGGGATTTTGCTCAGAAAGAATTAAGAGCAAGACCCAAACTCTAAGGGAACATTTATGGGGTAGGTACAGAGGTAGAAAAAGTAATTTGTAGAAGAAATGAAATGGGCTTAGGAATAAGTTATAGAGGTAAAGTAAGGGTGGGTGCTTGGGGGCTAGGAAGCTCATGGTGCCGGCCTGGGATAGGGGAGGAGAAAGGGAAGGCTGCACATTCCCAGGAAGGAGAGCACTGGCCCTCTGTCCCTCCGGGCTTTAGGGTGGAGAGTGTAGGGAGGTTCCAGGGGGAAGATCTTAGTAGAATATTCAGTAGCTTCCCAGGTGTGTCCAGCAGGGTGGTGCCCTCCACTGATGGTTGGCCGTCATTGGGGCAGGGGGTGTTGTATTCCATGCAGCCAGTCCTGAAGCTGGTTTTGTTGTTTATCTGGGCCTGGAGCTGACATACATCTGAGGCCTAGATGTTCTTTCTGGTGAGGAAAGGTCAGGGGGTCCAAATCACATTCCTGCTATTTGCTAGGGGAGGAAAGGTCACGCTGCGGGTGAGGTCCCACTCTACAGTTGACTGTCCATTGTTAGGCACCTGGGGATTTCCACCCTGGTGCCCTGTGCCTGGTCCATCCTGCTTTCTCTGCTCCTGTCCTACTGCCTACAACAAATCCAGGTGCTGGAATCTGCAAAGAGATATTCCCCGTTTAGGGTTCAACTCGGGACCGCCAAATAGAAGAGAGGCATAGGGGAGGTCTGAGGGAAGGGGCATGAAGCTTCCCGGCCCTCTCCGGACACCTGCCTTCCAGCACCTCCATGTGCTTGCCAGTTGGGAAGCACTAACCTTGTTTCTTTAAAAACTGGTTTTGCCCTAACCAGTTTGGCTCAGTGGATAGAGTGTTGGCCTAGGGACTGAAGGGTCCCAGGTTTGATTCTGGTCAAGGGCATGTACCTTGGTTGCAGGAATATCCCCAGTAGGGGTGTGCAGGAGGCAGCTGATCGATGTTTCCAACTCTCTATCCCTCTCCTTTCCTCTCTGTAAAAAAAATCAATAAAATATGTATTAAAAAAAATAAAAACAGGTTTTATTTTAGTAATGGAATTCTCAATTATTTCTCAAGAGCATTAAAAAAAAAAAGATATTAACCAGCCTTCTTGAAGGCTGGTCAGAAAAAGTGGGTTCCATCTGTAAGTTTGGGAAACTGCGTTTATCCACCTTGGTAATTCACCAGGAACATCACCTTTCATCAGCTTAATAAAGACTCAGGGAAATGATGGCTAGGCCAATGGGGGCAAGGACCAGGATTCACATCCAGATAGACAAGGTCCTGAAGACTTGGTGCTGCTTGTAACCAATAATGAAACTGGTTTAGTGTTAAAACCAGCATTTCTCAAACTTATTTGACTGTGGAAACGCCTTCTCTCCAGGAGATGCAGCTTTGGGCCAGCCTACACTGGTGATCTGTTTGGAATAGAATTGGTTTCTAATTTTTAAAAAAATATATATTTTATTGATTTTTTACAGAGAGGAAGGGAGAGAGAGAGCTAGAAATGTCGATGAGAGAAACATCGACCAGCTGCCTCTTGCACACCCCCCACGGGGTCCACAGACCGATGCTCTACCCCTGAGCCAAATCGGTTTCGGCTGGTTTCTAATTTTTTTAACCCTGGTTTTCTGTTGATAATATTAAATGTTATATTTACTCATTGTTACTTTTTTTTTTTTTTACTTGAAAGCCTAATATATATATATATATATATATATATATATATATATATATATATATAATATATTTTATTGGTTTTTTACAGAGAGGAAGAGAGAGGGATAGAGAGCTAGAAACATCAATGAGAGAGAGTCATCGATCAGCTGTCTCTTGCACACCCCCCAATGGGGATGTGCCCGCAACCAAGGTACATGCCCTTTACCGGAATCGAACCTAGGACCTTTCGGTCCGCAGTCCGACGCTCTATCCACTGAGCCAAACCAGTTTCGGCTGAAAGCCTAATATTTTTACCTCAAAGCACTTTATATTCTTCACAATGACCTCAGGAAGTTTTACAAAGTTAATACCACTCTATAGTACTTATGCAGTATACTAAAAACAGTTTATAATCTAAATCACTCTTTTATTTTGCTTTCTCTGCTCTCATGTTGTCATATTTAAAAAAACAAAAACAAAGTTATTTTAAAAGGTAAGAAATTGACAGCTATGGAACATTATAACAGTTGATATCTGAGTTTGAACCTTGGCTCAGCCTATTAAGTGTGTGACCTTAGAAAAAAGTTACTTTATTTCTCAAAGCCAGTTTCTTCTTCTAAAAGACAAGGTTAATATCTTGTAGGGTAGCTATAAGAATTAAGTGGAAAAATCCATGTGTCTGGCACATAAAAAGCTCTCAATAAATGTTTGTTACCTTTTTATGTGTGTGTTTTTTTTTCCCTAAGGAGGTTGTCTCAATTCTGTTCTGTGAATGGATTATTAAAATAGTTTGAAGAAAGATCAGTTTTAAATTTGAACAGTTTCAGTGTTTTGCTGATTTCAGCTACATTGCTGATAAGTGATGTTGTCCCGATACAGGTTGTATGGGAGTTAAAACCAGTTTCCTTCCGGCTTTCCAACTGACATAATAAGCAAAACCTGACTGGGCAAACACAGACCTATTTATTAGATCACTTATTATTAATGCTAAACTAGCTTTGGTGCTGACTTCTCCTGTTCTTTTTGAAATTTACTGTTGTCATTTAAAATGCCACAGACTTTCAAAAGCTTCATAGAATGCTTAATGGTTTAAATCATTCTCGAGAACATGGGAGATACACTTTCCAAAGTGGTCTTCTCCACCTGGCAATATGGCCAAAACCATGTATTGTATGTTGGACAGAACTGCTTATATTTTCACATTTACTACTGGAGGTTTATTTAGTTTTCATGGCAATCAGCTTTTGGGGTTTATGGGCAGTACTTAGCATCTATAACCAAAGCATAAATAATCATTTAAAACTAAGCCTGGAGCACTAGCGGGGCTCAGTGGTTAGAGCATTGGCCTGGAGACTGAAAGGTCCTGGGTTTGATTCCAGTCAAGGGCATGTACCTCCATTGCAGGTTCGATCTCCAGCCCTGGTTGGGATCATGTGTGAGGTAACTAATCAATGTGTGAGGTAGCTAATCAATGTGTGAGGTAAATAATCACATTGATGTTCTCTCTGTCCCTCCCTCTTCCTGCCACTCTATAAAAATCAATGGAAAAATATCTGGGTAAGGATTAACAAAAAATAAAACTTAAAACAAAAAGTATGGAGATTTTTCATTTTCATAGTGACTCCCTAAGCAAAAAGAAAATGGAAGTTGAAACTCTTATTTAATCTGATAATTTACATAATTCCTGTATATTGAGAGCCAACTCTACCCAAAACCCCATTAAGAGCAGTTTGGAAGATTGTGAATGAACTTTGGGCATATTATGTAGGTGACTGAATTTGACCTTGCCTAGAATCAGATTCAGCAGAAGTTGTATTTTCTACTGTAAATGAAGCAAAATAATGAGCTGTTATAGCATTTTGTATAGCTTTGATTTTTATGTTACCTTTCTCTATTGAATATCAAAATTAAAAAAAAAAGGAATGTCAGATAGGTTCATGAGTACCAAAGCAGACCACATAAATTTTGCTTCCTAAAAGTTTTTTTTTAATCTTTTGTTGATCTTGTTCATTAGAAATAAGTATGTTCCTGTCCTATACTAAAATTCAAGATATGGTATTGTTAGACCAAATTCAATAAGATATCCTGCCCATTTAAAATCTCATTTAAATAATTTAGATATTATGTAAAATTTATTCCTACCCTGCATTGAAAAGTTGGTGCTCATATAATCCAAAGTAAATGGAAACGTTCATTGCAAAAAAAAAAAAAAAAGAAAAAGAAAAAAAGAAAAGAAAAGAAAAGTTGGTGCTAAGAGTTTAATAATTCTTAACAAATAGAAATCTTAAGAATGGCATTGGGAGTTATAGTAAAATTTTATTTATTTATTTATTTATTTATTTATTATTTTATTTTTAAAAAAATATTTTATTGATTTTTTTACAGAGAGGAAGGGAGAGAGATAGAGAGCCAGAAATGTCGATGAGAGAGAAACATCGACCAGCCGCCTCC